ACAAAAAATCAAGAAAATAATTCAACTTCATCCAATAATAATAAACTATTTACTTTTCTTTTTTATATTAATAATTAAATATTTATTGCATTTATATTTATTATCATTCTCATAGCATTCACTTCTGCATCTATATAGCAATCCTAAAACTCGTGTAAAAAGCATACATTCTTCTTTTAAAGTATGTTATACATAATTCAAGTAGAAAAATACTAACAGAAAGAGAGTATCCAATAGCTGATACATAAAGCATTATAAGCAAAAGTATTTCCTTTTGAATTGATGAAACTGATGGTGAAGTACTTTGAGGTTTGTTAGATACATAATAGTCTTTCAGTAATCCAAATTCTGAGGCTCTTAGAATTATTTCATTAAAACGATCGTTGAAAGGTGAATTTTCTCTAGAAAACCAAGCAGTAATTGCCAATTCAACAGTTTGTGGAAGTATTTTAACATTTAATTCTTTTTTTTCTTCTCTATATTTATTGACAAAATATTCTGCATCATGCATAAGACAAAATACGGTTCGATTATTAGCCATGTATTCTAAGCATTCTTGTTCTAATCTGATAGGAACCATCTTGTTTATAAGTTTAGCAATATGAAGTGAATAAGAGCTTTTGTTTCTATTAAATTCACCCTTTAAAGTCATGAATACAAACAAATTTGCTAGCGGTTGCAAGGATGAATTAGCCAGCTCTTCAAGAGTTGAAATTTCAATGACTTCAGATCGCAGACTAATGTCCAAGATTACTGTAAAAATATATCCTGTATAAACAATACACGACACCAGGAGAGAGCCAAAAATCATTCTCTCAGACAAATTATCCGGTTCTTGATCAGTAGACATTCCTATTATAATTTGACTGATGTGTAACGTTTGCCATCGACACTTATTGAATCTCAGTAAAAAAGTTGTAAATCGAATGATGATAATCATTGTAATTGTTGCCAGAAGCATATGTCCAAATTCTGACGAAACGTTTATTTCTTTATTGTGCTTTACCATTTTCGGAACAACAGCTGTAACATTACTGAATTTAACAATTCGTAGTGAATGCTTAAGATGAAACGGAAAATTGTATTTGTTATTAAATACTAGTTGATTTAGCATTAATCTTTCTTTTTTTTCGTTTTTTTTATATTTATATTTGCAATTCATCACTTTTAGAAAAATCTCTGTCAATTTATCTCGTTCCAAATCGTCACCACCTGCAGAGACGCTAAAATTAATTTCGTATCCATTAAGATTTTGCAATTTATTTGGAAACCATTGACTTTTAAATGATGCCACCTCAGTAGAAAATTTATCACTTTTAGTAAAGGGATTCATGTGATTCAAAACAGGTACTTTATTTGAACTTTTAATAAGTTTCACTCGATGTTGTTGTGGTTCGTATGTTGCTATTGTAACATCCAAGTAATTCTTTTGCCATTTTTCTTGCAAAAATTTATTGATTTTAATTTGATTTATTAGAAAAGAATTTACAAGTAAACATCTTGGTAGTGATGACCGATCCGATAACACTTTTAGTTTTTTAAAAACAATTTTAACTTGTTGCTCAAAATTTTTATTTGACCATTGGAGAACAAACAGTGTAGTTCTCCTGGGGTTTTCAAGTGACTTTAGATAATTTTTGTCAAGTTTGGAAGTAATATTACTGTAGCTGATGCTTAAAGAAGGAAACTGTTCATTAACTACTTTCATTAAGAAATTCATTATTGGGTCCATATTGTTGAGTTCATCATTAAGAATAAATAGTACCTGATGCAGTTTAGAATCTTCTTTTAGATACTTTATCAGTCCATCATAATGATTATTTATCAAAAACACGCCTAAACTTTGTTTCCAGAAAAAGAAGGCAACAAACCATACACTCACAAACTTCATTGTACACTACCGCCTAAATTCACTGACAAAAGTTTTCTAATAATATTTTATATTTTTTTGAATTTACCGAGAAAAAATATTGTACTATAAACACTTATGGTTCGTGAATAAATTATATCTATTTTGATGAAATTAAATCAACATAAAAGGAAATTATCAAGTTGACATGTAGTCAAACATAATTATATAGAGGTTATTTTAGTTAGGATATCTTCGATTTTGTGACAAAAGTTTATAAGTTATAAGTTACTTAAGTAAACATGAAGAACATTTCTACATATTTTATCTATTCTTAACGATTGGTCTTTATATTTTATTCTAGATGGATTTTCCTTTTACGAATATTTACAAAATAAGTTTAAATGAAAGATGATGTAACGCCTATCAAACATTTTTACTTTTTTATTACTCTTGGTATCTGAATGTTTTTGGGATTGCAGGACAAAATATATTTTTTCCCATGGGACAATAAAAATTTAATGAAAATGAGAAAAATAAATAATAAATAAAGCGCATAATTTATATTTAAATAAAACAATAAAAATAAAGAAAAATATATAATTCAGTTGAAAATTAATTTACGTGAATTTTGTTATGTATGACTTTCAAACCAATTTGCCAGGATAACGTTTGAATTGATCTAGTTAAAAAATCCCCCTGAGAGAATTTCAACACTTTTCAGTTATATTGTCCAGGACAAATATAGAATCCTGTATATATATATACTCGTTCCGAAAATTAGTTTTGATAAACCTTTACAGAAATGGATTTTATTGATGAAACTTTTGTAACGCACAAACTCTCTCTCCTATATATAGTTTCAAAAAAAAAAAACTCGAATTTTCCAAACAATTTCCTTTCTCTCTATATTTTTCGTTCATATAATAATCGATATCCTCACGTTATGTCGAACGATAAATAAAATTCTATTTTTCAACATATTTCCTTTATTTCCCTCGAGTGTGAAAAATTGCTATAGATTCAATTAATTATTCAAAACTTTAGCTGCATCATATTAAATAAATATAGTGACACTATACATATATGAGGAATAAAAGATTTATTTTATAATTTATTGCAAAATACACGAAGTTAATAATTTGAGTGAAATAAAGGAAATGAAATGAACTATTAAATAAATTATAAATGTATTTTTAAAAAAGTGAAAATTCATTGATAGGAGATTTATATCTTAACTCCTTCACAGTGATTGACCATATAGAGACATAAAAAAGTGCCACCTAAGTGTATCTAAAAAGAATTTTACCCAATACGATCTCTGAAATTCTTCGGCAAAGGGGGACCTATAATTATCGACCCATAAAAACGTCACTGTACGTGAAAATAGTAAAAATTGATTTTAAATTTCTTTTTTCTCGAAATAAGGACACTTTTAACAAAATCGGCCAAAAACACCATCCTTATAATATATATAAATTACATAAATCAGAAAAATTGTGCTAATCCAAACAAAAACGCGATTGAAAAACGAAATGTAGAAAAGTAATATAATGACAGGTTCATTACCTCCTGCCGCCGTCAGATGGCAGAAGTATGCAAGGAGCACAACGTCGCAGCTGTCATTATATATATATTATTTTCCTACTTTTCGTTTTTTAATCACGTTTTTGTATGAATTCGCACAATCTTTCGGACTTAGGAAATTTAAAAAAAAAAAAATAAAAAAAAATTGGGAAACCCAGACGGAACCCAGCTGGCGCCAACTTACAAAAAAATATAAATTATATTTAAAAAAAAATATTATTAATAAATTAAAATAATTGAATTGAATATTAAAGACAATAAAAGAATTTAGTTTTTTTTGTACTAATCTTTACATTTTTCAAAAACTGGGAAGCCCAGGTGGGACCCAGCTGACGCCTACCCTGAAAAATATTTCCACTTGGGTATTTAAATCTTTAAGATTATTATTTCTCTAAAATTGAGATAAAATTAAAGTTTTTAACCTGCAAAGCTGACATAAAAGGGCAAACTTTAAGACGCAATTATAATAGTCTTTAGCTTAACAAACTTTCCTCTATATAGAAATGTGTCATATAAGTTTCTGATAACATGTCCGGATGTATGTGTGTGTGTGTGTGTGTGATCTCCTTTTTTTGTGTACACACGATAACTTCAAAATGTTTCAACGAATTTTAATAAAATTTGGTTGGCTTATAAGTGACATAATAATATCAAATTGGGCGAAGGGATATTAGAAATAGAAATTTTTTTTTTTGTCTTTTTATCAAAATCTTTTATCAAATGATAAATAAAAGCTTATATATAATATATGAAATAAATGTGGTGTTAAAATTACCCTACCTATATGGTTAAAATTTGTTGCATTCTCAAATATCACTTCTTTTTTTCTATGATTAAATTCCAAAGTAATTCGAATAATTTTTTTTTTTAAATCTTCCATCAAATTCGATCCGCTATTTAGAATTTTGAAAAACTGATATTTATCATCATTGAACAAATATAAGCATTTATTATATTATTCGTTATTCAAAATTATTGTTGAGACAATTGTTTTCCTCATATTTCTTTCTTTTTAATTAAATTTTGTAAAAGAAATTTTTAAAATCAATTTTAAGAAATGGTTTTCTTTTTTTTACGGAATAATGATCAATTTTCACGCCTCATGGAAATGATTAAGTAAAAGAACTAGGAAGTTAAGACATTGTAGGTCAAATATTCCCATTAGTACGCAATCGATTTTTTTTTGCTAGTCAAATATGGTTTTTGTCTCGAAAGAAAAGAGAGTTCTTACATAATGTTTTATGTTTTGATATGCGCTCGTGTGTCAAAGCAATAGAATTGTTTCCTAAAAAAAAATTTCTTGCTCTCTTTTCATTACTACGATGAAGCGACTTGACTATTATATAGTTTCCTCTGTAACGTCAATACAAAATCGATTGGTCAATAATCGCTCGAGTGAGCAGAGAGCTAACGGTTAGTTTTTTTTTTTTTTTTTAGTTTTTATTTCATTTATCTGACCGGTTGAATAATTGTGTTTTGTAATGGCAATCACAAATTTGTCCACAAGACGTCACTGAATTAAATTTTACTAATCGTAATTCCATCAAGAGGACGGAACAAATATAAAAGCCACTTTATCTATCAATTGAACATTCAGTTCTGTTGATCATTCATCGAGTGACTATATAATAATCATTTAAAAAATGTCCTTAAAAGTGAGTGTTCGATAGTGTCTATATATAAATATTTCCTTTTGCATTTTCTTTGAGAAAATTATATATATATATATAATATACATAGTGGTTGTGGTCTTTATATACATATCATACAAGAGGATATTAATCATCTGAACTATCGAGTTCTTTCTTTTACTCATTTTTTTCACCTGTCCGTGTGGAAGAAGACAAATGTTCCATCTATTCAGATTTGTAGTTTTTGTTGTAAATTTTGACTCCATTGATTCATTCACCTGGTTGGAAAAAGTATATTTATAGTGAGATAGCATTTTTCATTAATTGCCCCCCCCTCCTATACCCTCTTCTACATCTAGTCCTCCTCTTTTTAAGTGCGATGAAAAGTGAAGAATGAAGTTGATAATATACGTTTGAGCCTTATTAAACTCGGTGTGGTTTTTAAATTACCTACTAAAATTCATTTTACTACTCAATACTTCATTATGTTCAAGTTCAACAGCTTTATTGATTCTCGAAAGAGATTTACAGCTATTGATAAAATTATATGATATTGGACAAGTTTTCAATTCATTAGTTTTCTTATAACGACGAAAACTTTTTTTTTTTGTCCCATTGAAAATATTTAATCACTTTTGTTCTTTATATAAAAAAAAAATACCAAATATATTTTGTTTCGTTAAATTTAAATTACATATTTATTAATGAAAACAGTGTGCAGTGAACACTTTAGAATTATTTTTTTACTAAAAAATAACTTAAACTTAAATTTCAAAAAATTTGTTATTTCTTCTTTATAATTAAAATAAAAAAAAATTTAATAAAATATACTAGATTCTTTCACTGGGCATTCAATTTTCTTCACTTTTTTTTTATTCTCCTTTTTTCATTTGAAATTTTTTTTTTATAAGAAAATTCAGTTTTCGTCAAATTTTTATGCATAAAAAGAAGTAACACATTTTGAAAACTTTGAACCATAACATTTAGAAATATGACAATTTATTTTGAATTAAATTAGTTTTGCAAAAGTATCTTTGCTTTTTTTTCTGGGAAAAATTTTTCTTCAAACAAAAGATTACTACATTTTTTTGAAATGAATTCAAATTTTTTTATGTTGAAACTTTTTCTTACAAGAAAAGATTGTCATTTTTTTAAATACCTATTTAACTTAAATTTTTTCAAAAGTACTAAATTTCTTTTCGAAAACCTTATAAGCATTTTTAGTGAAACTGTTTTCTTTAAACGTACTTAAATTTCTTTTACAGAATCATAAATTTTTAGAAAAGATTTAAATTTGCTTTTTCATAATTAAAATTTAAAAAAAAAATAATTTTTTACCTTTTCTAAACATTTTCTTTAAAAATCCATTTTTGTACCACTTTTATCTTTATATATTTTATTTGCAAAAAAATTTTAGCGAAAATAAATATTAATGATTAATAATTAATATTAATGATAGAATTTACAGATGGATTTTTTCAATAATAATTTTGCATGCTTTAGGAAAAAAATTATAGAAAAATTGTTATGAAAAGTAGATTAAAAGATTATATTCCAACTTCCCCTAATATGCCTCTGTGTATAGGGAAGAATAATATATCATAGAAGGGAGATAATTCACTAGAAAAGAATAACGTTATCTATTAACAATTTTATTTTATAGAGGGCAAAAATACCATTTTCTGATCACTTTATGATGTATTACACTAAACATGAAAAATGTATTAGAAACACGCAAATTGTATTTGAATTGATCAAATAAACACATTCGAAGAAAGATTTAATTAAGTCAACAAACATTTTTTTTTTCATTCTTTTCAAAAATTTGGTCCACAAAACTAGTTCTTTCTCAATGGAATAAAATGAAAATTTTAAGTTTATGTAAGCCCATTTATTACTATAAAAAATTTTTTTTCAAAATAATAACAAAATTTTTTCTTTAAATCTAAACTCTAAAAAATAGCTTTCCTTCAAAAGGGTAGAATTTTTTTTTCAATAAGCATTATTGAGCTGTGAAATAGTCTGAAAAAAAAAATAGTTTAAAATAGTCACAACTGAAGAAAATTTACATATGAAATATACATATAGAGAAGTAGCGCGTGATTTAGGAAATTATTGGATTTTGGTTGAATAAATAATTGGACATTTTCTGATATAGTTCGTGTCAATTTTGGTGGCGCTTGCCATAATTCTCGTTCACGTGAAAGCCGATGGCCACGCCCGATCCTTTCAACACTTTGAGGGACCAGTTCATGGTGAAGACCACGAAGTCACTTGGAAGGACAAACATGGACAGACACATCAAGACTATGAGGCAAATCCCCATTATGAATTCGCTTATGGAGTTGAGGACCACCATACAGGCGACTACCATGGACAAAAAGAATATCGAAATGGTAATCCACGACAAATCCTTGAAACTATTTTATTTTTCTCTTTTTCTTATATATATATATATATATAAAAAAGTTGAACAGACTACTTGGACCACTTGATACTCTACACGCTTGGGGAATAACAATAATTCCTTACGATTCACAAAATCCGTGGATAAAAAGGGTCAGGATGTAAATATTTAGAGCTTTTTATACTTTCAGAAATCAGCTTTCAAGCATTTCTTCTTATTCAAAACTTTTTCAAACAATATAGAGTAGAAAATCACAATTTTAAATTCAGACACTGGCAAACTTCTATTTCAAACTTTTTCATGAAAAAAAGTAGGGAGTGCGTGCATTCCTTACGTGTTTAATAGACCTTATAATACTTTATAAAGAATCTTATATTTAAGCGAATTTAACCCTAGACAGTATAACATAGCTGGTTTATACACAAAAATACAACTGGGGTAAAAAACTACCCCAAAATTTTTTTCTTGCTAGAATGTTTACATTTAATGCAAAATAACTGTATTATAAGTCATTTTTTTCGTTTTTTAGGGTTTCGTGGCTCAGGCCCGAAAGCTTCCGTTGTACACTCGTACGGTCGCCATGGTAACACAGAAAATTATAAGGTATTAAAATAAGCAGCAACGCTTATTATTTTAATCCAATTTTACTTATTTTAATACCAAAATTGATTAAAATAAGCAAAATTGGATTAAAAGAATAAGCGTTGCAGCTTATTTTAATGCCTTTTAATTTTCTGTGAACATTTAGTATAGCAACCATTTCCATAACAACCGTTACTTACCCATAGTACTAAATGTTATGCAAATTGCAGCTCGATCTAAAATTTACTTTTTTTTTTAATTGGATCACTTCAGAAATTTTGTCTCTTATATTTTTTATTTTCTTGAGAAAAGTTCCTTGTGTGTACAATTGGCGTAGAATTTTCTTTGTGTGGTTTAATATTTGTACAGGATTAATACCGCCCTGACTATCCTCTCAATTCACAGTGTACATTTCTCACTATTTTTATTTCTTATATTCTTTTGTTTTAAATAAAAAATTATTGAATATTTTAGAATTATTTTAGAATTATTATTATAACAAATGCCGCGAAACAAAGATTTGCAAATTGGAAATTAGCCCTTTTAAAATTCAACAATGCTCGAGTTAAATCAACAATTTAAAGTCTGAAATGTCACGGTCCAATCAGAAATCAAGGTAATCCTTTGTCTTTGATTGTGAATACAGCCATTATGCCCCAACAATTTGAGCTTGTGTTTGGCGACAAGTCACTAAAGTAAACTTAATGCTCCACTTTAACTCGAAATCCTCGTTATAGAGAAAGATTAACATTGATTTACTATTAACCAATTATTTCGAGGGTTTATTGACAAAATTGTCTTTACAATCCATTTGCAGTAACTAACATGTCAATTTTAGATATATATCGCATCTAATCCTATATTTTCAAAATAAATAAAAACATTAAATTTTTTTTCTTATTAATTGAAAATTTTTATGCTACCAAACGGAAACAAATAAAAAAAATAGAGAAGATTAAAAATTTATGAATAAAATATTAAAATATAAATTAAATTTTAGTTAAAATTGAAAATGTTGAATTCATTTAAATATGTAGTATTTCAATATTTATTTCTATATATTGAAAATCTAAAATTTTTGAATTTTAAATTATTCAAAAATAAATGTGAAATAAATATTAAAAATGGAAATTTTCATTTTACAGGAAAACAAGTAACAGGAGAATACACTTTACAAGAACCGAACGGCAACATTAGAACTGTAAAATATGTCGCCGACAAGGACGGATTTCACGCAGAGGTGATCAACAGTCACGACGAAAAATAGAGAAACTTTCATCCTGCAAAAGAGTCAAACGATAATAATTTTCTTTGCCAAAGATTCACTCGATATTCGAGATATACCTCTCTCTGTTTTTATGAAACAGATTTTCAGGGAAATATATATATTTTTATAAAATGGACCACACCTGGAGAAAATTTTTTATTCCAATTTCCAACTATAATTGATATTAAGTAAAAAAAATATTTTTTATTTCAAAAATAACTGTTTATTTGTTTTAAATCAAAAATTTTGTTTTAGTATAGAAATAAAATTTTTATTTGAAATTTTGAAACAAATAATATTTAGGCAAATATATTTTTTCTCCGGGTGTGCACTTGAATGACTATATGTATGTATAACTTTTTGTTAATTTTAATGGAAGAATCGTCCATTATCACTCACATTAATTATAAGATTTTTTATATCATATATATATGTAGAAATAATTGTTATATTATTCGATTTTAATAATATGAGGATTATATATAGTGACAGAATAAATCCATTCGATTGAAACGAAGTGTGTTCTGGTCCATTTTCCAATCTATCAAATATCGAGGAAGTATAGAAAAAAAAATAAAAGAGCTTTTGAGAGATTAATAATGCAAACATGTTACACGAAGTGTTGATTTATATGGAAAACTGCTTTGACGCTCAACAAACTCAATTCACCACAAAACCAGACTGACAGGATATTGGTTAAACTAAATTACTTCCCTATGTAAACGTACTACTCTCTATATATACCAATTCTGTTAGTAAAAAATTTTTAAATTATTTTTTTTCGGAAATTTTTTTTTCCCACGTGCGGAAGAAATGTAGAGCAAACATAAATTATTTATAAATTTTTCATTATATCACTTCTTTCAATATATACTAGACGCGAAATAAAAATAGATTTTACAAGAATAGTATTTGATTAAATTAAAAACTTCTGATATTGATTCTACTTATTTATTACTTTATCAGAACAATAATTATTTCTTTCCATAAATTATTTAATGAACAATTATTAATTTTATATGTTTTATTTTAAATCAAACTTTAAATTGTATAATAATTAAATGTTGAAATATTGTATATTGGCGCCTAATATCTCGCTTGACTCCAGCAGTGGCTGCTCGTACGCCACTACCGTGTGCGCACGCACTCCCTCTTCCCTTCTTGATTTTGCTTCGACCATGAACGTCTCGATCGTCTTCGTGCTCTGAATAAACGACTGTTTTTCATCCGTATTTGTGTATTATTATTGACTACATCCAGCTCTCAATAATTTACATGCCAATAGGTTATGGGCTCAGGCAACGATTTAACTGCGTTAAATATAGTTTTTGGAAGAATTAACGAAAAATTCGGTTCGTCGCGCATAGCGTGCTCTCGGCGTCCTTGACTTGTTGCGCGGTAGCCATTTTGATGTGTGTGCATAAATCTATAACGACTGTTCTATCGATGATAGAAACAAAGTGTATAAGAAGACAGAAAGATATTTTCATTGACGACTGTTAACGACAAGAATTTTACCTATAAAATTAAATATAACGACCGTTTCTACGACGATAAATTCGATAAAGGTAAATATGATACAGATGCAAACGTGCTCTGTATATCCAGAGTAAAGAAGGGAGAATTGGAAGTAAAATCAAAGTGATAAGTAAACGAATTTTTGACAGTGTCCTACATCCAATTTGCAAGTTTTCATACAATTTATACCATTTGCATCTGTTATTAAACAATTTGATTTATTGTAAAAAGGACAGTTTTTATTTCTCAGAATCAAATAAAAAAAATATATAAATATCAAATAATGACAGTTTCCATTTAGTTAATTTAAAGAAAAAACTAATTTATAAGACATTTTCTCTCCTAGATAGTTTAAATGAACAATTAATTAAACGATAGTTTTTCTGAGAAAAATTTAAATGTACGACTGAAATTCACGACAGTATACGATATGTGACGATGGTAATAAATTTATAATATATACTTAAATCACGATATTAATTTTTTTAAATATTTTTCAGTTACTGAATGAAATTAAGGTGGAAGGGCCCACGCAGTAAGTCGAAAGCAAACTTTTTTTTTCTAAAAGTTGAAAAAAAAAGTAAATTCTATTATGTAAAATAAAAAATCATATTTTCAAATAATTTTTTTATGTTAGAACGTACAAATTTGTAAAAAATAAAAATTAAAAAAAAATAGTAATATTTTGAACAATGTAGTGTTTCGCCGTGCGAGACGTGGCAACACTGCAGTCACTGCAGAACAGCTGATGCACACTGCGCATGCTATTTTCGTGCTAGTTTGTAATCAATGTGATAAATATTCGATATATTAATGGCTAAGTGTAAATATCTTTACAATTATAATGGAAAATCAACGTCGATACAAAGGTAAATTTATAAAGGAGAAAGTTCTAAAGCAGAAATTAAAAAGGATTGAATTTATGAAAAGAAAACAAGATGAATGGCGAAACATAACCTCTGAAGAAAAGAAATATCCTTGTGAAGGAACTCGACTCGTTGATTTGAAATTGTTGGGCAAAAGTTTGAAATGCCGCAGTTGCGAAAAAATTTTATCATTAGAAAATGTTATGGAAGAAAAAAGAAAAGGACTGCACTCTACTTTGCGCGTTATGTGTGATTCTTGTTCTGTGCTGACAGAAGTAGCAACTGGAGGACAACACAATGTTATGGATGAAGCGAAAGATTTTGTCAAAGCAAAAATCCATAATGATGTAAATACAAATGCTGTCTTAGGTAAGTACCATTATTGTAGTCTTAATTAAAAATAATTAATTTTTGGTTATATGAAGTACATAAATGTTAGATAATAATTTAATTAAAGATAATACTGTCAATTTAAATTGAAAATGTTATTTTTTAATTTATGCTTTTGAATAGAATGGAACTTTTTTCAACTTATTTTTATATTCTATACAAGGCATATATTGGAATCTGTAAATAAATAAATCGTTTCAGGTGCTTTTCATGCTGGTGTAGGATATAACCAACTGAACAAAATTTTGACGTGCTTAAATGTTCCAAAAATACCAAAAAAAATGTATAGGCAATACGAACAAGAAGTTGGTCCAGCAATCGAGGCAGCAGCGCGAGATTCGTGCGAAAAATTTGCTAGTGAAGAAAGAAAATTAGTATTAGAAAAACTGGAAGAACTACGTGACGCATTGTAAGATTTCAGTTTTAGTTTATTTGAAAGATTTTGTAGAAGCAAATTTTTTTTTATTTGATTTGATTATTAATTTTAAAGAATTAATTGCAGTATAACGCGATGTATTTAAGCGTTTACTTAATTAATTTAAAAATCATTGATTTTTTTGATAATATTTCGTAAAGTTTTCTGACACTTTCTTTTGCTGATGAATTATATTTTCTACTTTAATTTTTGATTTTACAATTTTTATATTTAACTTTTTATAAATTGAATTATTGTTCGACAAATATGTTATACACATTCTACACAATCATTTTACAGTTTTACGGACATTATAAGTAATTGTTTAACTATTGCTTCTTGTATAATATTTAAAATCTTTTACAAAGAAATAAATAAATGTTTTAAAATGAAAAATCTTTTTTTCTGATAATAAAGAATGATATTTAAATTTACTTTTTGAAAATCATAGGCCAGAAGATATCCGGAACGAATTTATCGACGAAATGTTTGTTCTTCAAGAGGTTGTACAAAATGAAGACAATAATAATAATAATAATAATACAAAAACATTTAACAAATGTTTAGGAAATGTAGTTAATGTTATTGTCTCTTTCGACATGGGTTGGAGCAAGAGGGGCAATGGACGGAGTTACGATAGTCTTAATGGATACGACGCGATTATTGGATTTTTTACGGGCAAAATTTTGGATTATCGAACTCGGAATAGAAAATGTCGTAAGTGTGATTTGGGACATTCCGTAAGCGACCATGACTGCAGGAAAAATTATCATGGCAGTGCGAAGGCCATGGAGGCGGACGTTGGGGAAGAACTTATAAATCGAAGTAATATTCTGAAAAGAAAAAATTTAAACGTGAAGGTTGTAATCGGAGATGAAGACAGTACTACGATGGCTGCTGTAAATAATGCGAATTTAAAAAACAATGTGTCTAAAAAGGTTTATAAACTAGCTGACATGAATCACGTGAAGACCAACCTTTCAAAAAAAATTTATAAAATAAAGCCGAAATTCAAACAATTAAATAAAAAAGGTTTAATTTCTCACATAAAAAAATGTTTTGCTTACGCTTTATCTCAGTGTAAGCAAAATGCAGTGAATTTAGCATCAGCTGTTCGAAGTATACCAGATCACTTAATTAATCGTCATCAAAACTGTGGCGCATGGTGTAGAACTAAAAATAAGAAAAAATCTGGAGTTTCGACACAAAAATTTGTTATTACAGACGAACGTTTGCATAGCGAACTGCAAACTATATTCAACGTGTATGCTGATAATGCTTCAAAATACTGTGTTCCTGCATCTAGTCAAGCCAATGAATCTTTGAACAGCATTATATCCCATCAGCTCCCAAAGAATAAAAGTTACAGCACAACTAATTCCGCTGATTTTCGCGTTGCTTCAGCTATTGCAGTAAAAAATGAAGGGAATTCTTACTTAGCTGATGTTAGAACTAGACTTGGGCTTCCTAAAGGTGAACATTGCGAAAAATATTGCAAAGAATTAGATAATACCAGAGCAAAACAATCTGTGAAATCTAAAACTTACGAATTTAAAAAACGTAGATTGGAACTCACCGAGAATAGAGTAAATCTAAGAAAGAAATTGGAAAGTCAGGAAGGAATTACATATGAGAAAAACATTGCTTTTGAAAATAATTCTCAACTCATGTGTCTAAGTCCTCTCAGTGAAAATTCTGCTTTAGCAGTTGAAAATTGTCAAATTATATTTTTCGATTTGGAAACATCTGGCCGGAGGAAAACGTCGGATATACTACAAATTGCTGCAAAAGTAGATGATAAAACATTCTCTGTATTTATTCAACCTACGCAACCAATTGATGAAGAAGCATCAAAAGTTAATGGATTCGAAAACGTTGGTAATGTTTTATACTTAAAAGGAAACGAGTGTATTACGATTAGTATGATCGATGCGTTGCTTGCTTTTTATGAATTTTTTTCAAAAAATTCAAAAGGGTGTATTCTCACTGCTCACAATGCTTCTTTTGATGTTTCCTTTTTAATTCGAGAAATCCAGAAATATTCATTGGCTCAGGAATTTCAAAAAATTATTTATGGATTTTGTGATAGCTTACATTTGTTTCGAAAGAAATTTCCTTCTCGAAAAGGGACTGGAATGTTTACTTTGTCAAAATTAGCGGAAGATTTTTTGACAAATGGCGTTTCGCCTGAAAATTTCCATGAAGCACTGTATGATGTAATTATCTTAGATCAATTAGTCAAGTCTCTTTTAAAGCCAGACGACTTATTCCTACATGCGACAGATTATGTTTCTTCAGTAAATAAGTCAATTTTAGATAAGCAAGTAGCCCTGAGATCGAAAACGTTTCATCCACTAAAAGGCAAAGTTACCGATTACCTTATAAAGAAACTCGCTTCCTCAGGACTAACATTCGAAGATTTATTAGAAAAATACAAAGACAGCGGAGAAGAAGGAATCACTTTGTTACTTACTGATCGACAGAATAATAAAAAACCACTTGTAGGAAATAAGAAAAACACGTTGCCAAAGTTAATAGATGGCATCAAGAGTGCAATCAGCCAAAAAGATTAAAACCGATATTTTAAAGCAACGTTTTATATGTGAAAAATTTTATTTATGTGGATTATACTTACGAAACGAAAATATCAGATTCGAAATTAAAGATTCTATTGTTTTGTCATTTATACAGTTAATTTATTGTCTTAAGAGACGTATCTCGCTAAAGCAATTAAATATAGTATTATTCAGCGGTATTTTATGTTTAAAGAATTGATATGCAGGGTTTACGTTTACCAAACGAAAAAAATAAAAAAGTATCACTAATATTTTATCTCAAAAAGAACTTTTAAGTAAAGCATAAAATAATAAACGTTATTACATATGTAAAATTATGTTAGTAATATGTTAAAAACAAAGAATATTTATGTTGTTAAATTAAGATTAATACTATTTTGTCAAAACGTCAAATAAAAAATTACTATACCAAAAAACACATATTTTTTAATATCAACTCATTCATTCCTTTTTTAAATTTTTTGCTGCTTATATAGACATTTTTATAAATTAAATTTTAAAAAATATTTTTTGAATCTGCATTTTTCAATAGAAAGTTTCAAAATTAATTAATTATTATTAATTAAAAATGGTCTGATTAAATAATATTAATTTCATAATAAAATTTTATTACTTTAATATGAAATCAAAATTTATTTCTTAAATGTAATTTTAATTTTGGATAAAATTATAAGAATTCATTAACTTTCTTGAAAAAAAGATAAGTAAAGCAATATGTTCTAAATACTTGGATATATTTAAATCTTCCCGCCATTCAATTTCTCCCTCACAAAAGTTGCACTGTTGCCACGTTCTCTGTGTCTCTCGTGTCATAGAAAAAATTACATCCAACTTTAATTTTTGGATTAAAAATACTCGGTAACTAAACAGTAAATTGTACAATACTTGAAGCATTATGATCCTTGAATTTCAAATTAATTTTGTTTTAATTTTGAGATGAATCCTTATTGAGCATAAAAAGTTATGAAGTAATATATATCGAGTTGTCAGTTTTTCGTTTGCAGCGGCCATAAGCACAATGCTAAGTAATAAGAAAAATAGTGAATTTCGGACGACAATATCTTGAAAACCGTACGATAAAAATTGCTCACATTTAACAATAATGTGCATTAATATGTTATTCAATTTTGCTGAAAGTTTTACACGATTCCGTACACTTTGTGATTTTGACCCTTCCACCTTAAGTTAAAATAATTATTAGATAACCTGTTGCAGAAATGTCCTAAAATTTACAAAAGCTATTTATATCAAATTCGACAGTGCTGAAATGTGCAAAAGATTCATCTTAAGAAAGGATGTACGTGTAACGACTACAATAGAATATAATTCGTAAAATTTATAAATTAATTTAGTCTGAAATTTATAAAATAGATAATTTTTATCCTATATTATTGTAAACAAGTCAATCTCAGGAAGGAGTGTTCTTCCTTTCTTGATTTTACTTTGACCGTGAACGTCTCGATCGTCTTTGTGCTCTGAATAAACGACTGTTTTTCATTCGTATTTGTGTGTTATTATCGACTATATCCTGCTCTAAATAAAAAACTAATAAAAATAAAAACATGCCTACATTAAATAACAATAATAATGATACAAAAAATGTCGATAATTTTATTAGTTTAGGTAAAAATCTCTATTTTTAAAATAATTAAACATTTTTTTACAAGTCAAGAAAAAATAAAGAAGTTACAATTAAAAGTTAAATAGTTTATTTTACCAAGTTTCTAGCACCACTGACAAAAAGAAGAAGAAAAAAAGAGAAAGAGAAAAATGTAAAACCAGAAGTGAAAAAATGAAACAGAGCTGAAATTGTAGAAAAGATGAGAAAATAAAAGCGTCTCTTATTCTTGAGCGTTGGTTTGCTGTAAATTATTCGAGACGAAGTGTCACTTTTGTGTGGATATGGTGAATCCGTGACAAGATTATAAATGATCTTGTTGGAGTTGTTCCATATAACATGTTCAATTCAAAAACATGCCGAGACTTTTCTTCTATTATATTTAAATATTTATTGAAAAACTATAGTTGTTTTTTTAAAAGTTATTTGAAAAATTTTCTTTTCTTCTTCTTTTTTTGTTTGTTTAATTATTATTATACCGAAAAAGCTTTTAGTTTTGTTGAAATAACTATAATTCATTTAATTTATAAAAATGTGCAAAGTTTTTATTATATTTGTTGTGTGGGATGAAAAGTGTGAGCGGTGAAAAAAAACACTAACAACACGAAGTGAAGTGGTGGTTTTTCTACCACAAAGTAGAATACATAACGAGGACCATATGCAGTGTTGCATTTCTCTCCAAAATTATTATCATACACGAAAAATTTCCTACATGAAATACTTTCATTTATACGCAGCAAAAAACGAGATAACTAATATATATATATATATATATATATAAATCGAGTTCTCTAATTCATCGAATGAAGTTTTCTATTAGAAAAAAACAACATTAAAATCCGTTATAAACTAACAAGTTTTTCTTTCTATCGACGCTTTATGAAATACAATACACTTTATATATATATATATATATATATATATATATATATATACTTACAAAATAGAATCTCTGTTATCAATACTGCCTTTTGTTCAAAGTATTTATTTTATAAAAACGAATTTTATAAATTACATTTTATTGAAATTTTATATTAACAAAGATATTTCTATTCACTTCAAAGTAAAATAGAAAAAAGAAGAAAGGGGTTATTGAATTTCTCATATATATATATATATATAAATAGTTTCAATGTTTCATCATATTGAAGGAAAAATGTTTGAAATGATTTAAAAAAAAGGATAGCAAAATTTTTCTTGTTTTTATTAAATCAATGTTTGGAATTTTATCTTTGTGTTTCGTTTAACTTTTATTGTACATAAAATTCCTTTTATTAGTCAAATATTTTTATTATTAAAATAATGTTTTTTTTATTCATTTCAAAATTCGAAAAAGTGTTTATAGAAAAAAAACTTCTATCCCTATTTTGGATAGAAATTTATTTAATAAATAGTCATAATTAAATTAAATTGTATAGCGACGTTTCGTTGTCCAACAAAAAATTTCATTTTGACAATTGAAAAAAAATAAAAACAATCTTAAAAAACAATAGTTATACTCCGGACTTTATCGAAAAACATTAAAATCCGAATGAACAAATTAAAATTTTCAACTAATAACAACAGTAGCAATCAAAATAGAACTAACATTTATAGTCAAATTCCGAAGGTTTGTTTACCTTTTAATGAAAAATCTTTTTTCAAATTGTCAAACATTTTAAAAGAATTTCATTTTGCATCAATTTCCCTTGTGAATAAAAATTCTAATTCCATCATTCGATTGGGTTAAGATAAGACCAACATATGGAATAGAACTAATGTCGAGTGCAAGTTTAATTGTAAGGATTGTCTGGCGACATTTATATAGGCGAGACAATTATAATTATAAACTGTTATTAAATTTTTTAAACGCAATTTCAAAATAAATATTTTAACATTTAGAACGAAACATAATTGCCAATTTCAATTTATTGAGGAGTGGAAAAAAAACAAAATCTATAAAAACATTACGAAACAAGGACAATTGTAACTCTATTAAACCAATATTTTCAGAATTTAATATGTACTTTATTCTAAAAATGTGTTTCCACAAAAAAAATCCACTGGAAAAATAACTCTTTATAAAGAGAAAAAAAAAATCTGAATGAAATTTGAGACCTTTCGTTTTGTGGATCAAAAAGAAGTGAACCACAAAAATTGAACTTGTCATTGGTAGGAGTGACCTATAGGTAGATCGGTTTGGAAACGTTCGACGTTTTATGGTCTGATCATTGTCACCACATACACATGGATTGGTAGAAACACACATTGGCAAAATACGATAGCTCGTCCAATTTCCGTCGCCTTTTATCCTCTGGGAGTTGATTTCACGCCATGTTTTTTTCCCTCTTGTCCATCGTTTGTTCCTGCATCACATATACATATATACATACATATATATTATATATATACGCGACAGCTCTCTTTAAATTTGCTACTAAATAATGAAAATTTTTACACTCCTATTATAAAAAGAAATGTATACATATTTTTATAGAAAGTGGAGAAAAAAAATATTTTATAAACCAAAACCTACCACTTACAAGGATTAAGTTTTTTAGCCTGATACAAATTTTTCCATGAAGAAGAAAAAAAGAGAGAGAAAAATTTTCCCTACCAAAGTAATCGTTTTCATCATCAGTTTGTAAATTTAACTGGAGTGGCGCGGTCTCGTAAAGGACCTTGAAAAGGTTTACTTTGATATTTGAATCATGCGGTTCAGCTTGAAAACTTCTAGTTGCAAAGGAGGCAACGTGTTTCATAACTTTCTAGCATTTAGTGAAGAGAAACTTAAATATAAAGGGAAACCAAGAAGCAGACGAAACTTAAGGAGGTCGAGGAAGAAGGGCAAAGCACTTCTAAAAATTACTTCACTTCATTTTTATCTCGGTGATGCTTGTTCTGTTTTTATTTTTTACCTTTTTTGTCTAATTTTTATTTATAAGAATACATTTTATTATTTGTAAATTAGTTATTTAATATGTATATATTATTTTACTCATTTCGTTACATGATTTAACCTAGAATAAAAAAAGGAGAAAAAATTCTGTCTAGGTTGAATGATATATACTTTTCACTCACTATTAAAGTAAATAAAAAACATGTTAGGAGAATTTTCCAACACCTGTAGAGGTTGTAGTTAATTAGGTGAAAAAAACTTTTTTCCAGTAGTTTCGTTAGAAAAAAGTTTTTTTTTACGAAAGTAGTATAATAAAGACCAGTGTGTGTGTGTGTATATATATAAAAACGGACTCGCGGAATAAGCTTGACGTAAATCGTAAAAATCACCTTAAACTGAAAATATATGACTACAAAATGAATGACTATGTTTTTTAGTAGCAAACTTGGGTGTATTTTTAAATTCTTAAACTCCGGTTCTCGCGTATATATAATTCCAATG